TTTAATTGAAATAGAGTCTCTCTCTGTCGCCCACGCTGGAGTGCAGTGCCACGATCTTGGCCCCACTGCAGCCTCCACCTCCTGGGCTCAAGCAATTCTCCTGACTCAGTCTCCTGAGTAGTTGGGATTACAGGTGTGTGCCACCACACTCAGCTAATTTTCGTAATTTTAGAGACGGGGTTTCACCATGTTGCCCAGGCTGGCCTTGAACTCCTGACTTGAAGCGATCTGCCTGCCTCAGCTTCCCAAAGTAATGTGATTACAGGTGTGAGCCACTGTGCCTGGCCATTTCTGCTTCCTCGTGTGTGTGTGTGTGTGTGTGTGTGACAAAGAGAGAAGAATTTCATTCTGTCGCCCAGGCTGGAGTGCAATGGCATGGTCTCAGCTCACTGCAACCTCTGCTTCCCAGGTTCAAGCAATTCTCCTGCCTCAGCCTCCTGAGTAGCTGGGATTACAGGTGTTCGCCACCACGCCTGGCTATTTTTTGTGTTTTTAGTAGAGATGGGTTTTCACCATGTTGGCCAGGCTGGTCTTGAACTCCTGACCTCAGATAATCCGCCCCCTCAGTCTCCCAAGTGCTGGGATTTACAGGCATGAGAACCACGCCTGGCCACCATTTCTGCTTTTTAAGTCTGTTTTCCTCTCTGGGGACATGACTCCCAGCAGACATGCCTGTGTGTGTGTGTGTGTGTGTGTGTGTGTGTGCGCACATGTGTGCATTGTATGCACATGTGTGCAGCAAAGTGGCCACCAGCAACCCCCACTTACATCCCATCAGCTCATTGGCTCGGGAATGAAAGGTGTCTTTTCCTAGGGCAGACTCTCATTGGCCTTTCCCCAAATCATTCATTGAGCCAGTGGCTTAGGCTGTTCTGATTGGTCAGGCTGAGTCACATGGCCACTCCTTCTTGGCCCTGACCTTCTTTCCACCTGCCTGTCCCCTCTTGCTTCAGCGCTTCCAGGCCATGGAGGAGACGCACCTGAGGCACATGAAGGCACTGCTGGGCTCCTATGCTCACTCGGTGGAGGACACGCATGTGCAGATCGGGCAGGTGAGTCAGGGCAGGTGTGAGGAATGAGGCTGGGGTCGCTGCTGGGCGAGGGGGCCCTGATCAGTTACACGCCCTGCCCACCTGGCACAGGTGCATGAGGAATTTAAGCAGAACATTGAGAACGTCAGCGTGGAGATGCTACTCAGGAAGTTTGCAGAGAGTAAGGGCACAGGCCGGGAGAAGCCAGGTGAGTCAGGGCAGCCATCGGGGATTGCGCTGTGGGGCTGCGGGTGACGGGCAGGACTCCAGAGGCAGGAGACTGAACCTCCCTGGGCATTGGTTTCTTCATGGGAAAAATGGGTGCTGAGGAGTCCAGCTCTTCAGCCTGATCTTACCTGTAAATTTCTTTGAACCAGATCCCAGAGGAGCCTTGAATGCCAGGTTCAGCTGATCTGACTTCACCCGCCAGGACCTAAGGGGGCCATTGTGGGTTGTGGAGCAAAAGAACAATTTGCAAATGCTCAGATGCAGTACTGGGGAGGAGTTAAGAGCAAAAGTTGGGCCGGGCGCGGTGGCGCACGCCTAGAATCCCAGCACTTTGGGAGACTAAGGCGGACAGCTCACGAGGTCAGGAGATCGATACCACCCTGGCTAACACGGTGAAACCCCGTCTCTACTAAAAATACAAAAAATTAGCCGGGCTCGGTGGCATGCGCCTGTAATCCCAGCTACTTACTTGGGAGGCTGAGGCAGGAGAATTGCTTGAACACAGGGGGCAGAGGTTGCAGTGAGCTGAGATCACACCACTGCACTCCAGCCTGGGTGACAGAGCGAGACTCTGCCTCAAAAA